TTATTATCACAGACTTTACCGAAAGGGGCGAATTTCACCAAAATTTGGCCCATTTAGGGTGAATCCTAGAACCTTGGCATGCGGCCGCCATGCGTGGGCTAGGGACTAGGTTTGCCCTAAGTAGTGGAATGATTTGATGATCGTGCCCTCAGGCTCTCCCACATCTGGTCAACAGTACCCGGCTAGCAGCGGTAGAGGAGTCATGGGAAATGGATGAGAAGTGTGGGAGAGATGACGCAGAGAGAATGTCTAGCGTTGGAGGAGTCGTGGGCTAGAGATTCTCCTGGCATCTTTGGAGGCTAGCAACTAGTGAGTGTGTGGAGAGACCAGGCATGTCCCATCGAGTAGTGACATGGGGGATGGAGTCACAGACCGAGCAATATAGAAGCATGACGAGGCAGTTGTGCACCTGATGGGGCAGCAATGGGGTCAGTGCCCCATAGTGCACCCTAGCAAATAGCACTTGCTGCCCGACACTCGTCTGGTAGTGTGTGGACATGGAGAGAGGTTGAAGCAGGTTGAAGAGGAGTTGGGCTGCAGCAGATGTGTTTAATGGGCCTAGGAAGGAGGAGATAGAGATGAGGGAAGATGTTGAGCTGCTAGCCGCTGTTGGCGGGGGTTGTGTGGATGTGTTGACTGGCTTTTGTGTGGAGGTGGGCTGGACTAGATGGAGACAGGGAAGGAAAGGATAGAAAGGCTGGAGTGCGGGTTTGGCAGGCCCAGAATAGGCCTAGAAGTTGGTTGGGCAAGGGGGGAGAATAAAAGCCCTTTCCCTTTTCAAACATGGGGTTTTGAAAGAATATAAGCTTCGAATAGTGCCAAATGAAGATCCAAAGTGCTCCACATATGCATCTAGTTCGGTATGAATGTACGAAATTAATTAGGAAAATTTAAAAGGGAGAGGAAGGGGTATAGAATGGTTTGGATTGGATTTGAGTGTTAGCTCAAATTCAAACCTTATTGTTGTACTATGAAGTAAAATGGTATTTGGAAAAACCGTTACTCATAAGATAGTTGCTTACATACAACAAAAACAACAACAACATAGCCTTTCAGTCCCAAGCAAGTTGGGGTAGGCTAGAGTTAAAACCCACCAAGAGCCCCAAGTCACGGTTCAGGCACTTCAATAACTGCTTTCCAAGCACTCCTATTCAAACATAGATCTCTAGGTATATCCCAAGCTTTTAAATATCTTTTTATTGCCTCCCCCATGTCAATTTTGGTCTTCCTCTACCTCTCCTCATATTATTAGATTGGTTTAGGACTCCACAATGCACTGGTACCTCTGGAGGTCTCCTTTGGACATGGCCAAACCACCTCAACCGATGTTGGACAAGCTTTTCTTCAATTGGTGCTACCTCTAGGCGATCACGTATATTATCGTTCTAAACTCGGTCCATTCTTGTGTGACCACAAATCCATCGCAACATACGCATTTCTGCAACACTCAGCTGTTGAACATGTCGAATCTTAGTAGGCCAACATTCTGCTCTATATAACATAGCCAGTCTAATCACCGTTCTATAAAACTTGCCTTTTAGCTTTTGTGGTACCCAATTGTCACAGAGAATGCTAGAAGCTTGTCGCCGTTTGATCCACCCTACTTTGATTCTATGGCCAACGTCCGCATCAATATCGCTATCCCTTTATAGCATCGATCCCAAATACCAAAAGGTATCCTTCTTAGGCACTACTTGACCTTCCAAACTCACATCTCCCTCCTCTTGTGCAGCTCCGTCAAAGTCGCATCTCATGTATTCGGTTTTAGTTCTGCTCAATCTAAAACATTTAGACTCAAGGGTCTGTCACCATAACTCTAGTTTCCTATTTACTTTCGCCTGGCTTTCATCCACTAACACTACATCATCAGCGAACAACATCCACCAAACGAACAACATACACCAAGATAGTTGCTTACATAAGATTCTAAAATAGTTAGCTGCTTATTAAATTTTGTAGTAAAATAGATAGTTGCTTACATAAGATTCTAAAACCATTACTCATAATCTCTAGTTTAGATAGAAAAAATTTAAATGGTCATTTCTTTAATAAAGGGAAAACATTTAGCAGACGGTATGCAAAAATACTATTAGTTCAGAACCAAAAACTTGTCAAAGGTTTTGGGTTTTGCCGCACTGTTTCCAAAATAGTTTTAATAGGCTTTCCATTAATCTCTACTCCTAAAAAATAGGGGTTAATACCCATTTTATTTTAATTATGAAACCAAAACATTTTCAAAATATATTTGAGCACACTAGCTATAGTTTTTAAATCAAAATCTTCTAACCAACAAACCATAGAATTTTTTAATGTAAATGTATCATAATTTTAATTTTTATAATATCATTAATTCTTATATCTGATTAAAATTTGCAATGAGTCAATTGCCAACATGTCAAGGACCGATCTATCCATTGAAGATTATGACATAAGATCTCCCTTGAGTTTTCACATGTCGTTCCTCATCGGGATTGCGAAGATTCCTTTATTTATACCGGATTAGACAACACACTGCTCGAGATTTCAGTTTACGATTTTATTTGGAGGTTTTTAAAATAAGAATATTTTTTGTTTATAACTAAAATTTTATATTAATATTTTGATAGTGAAAATATTTGTTTCTAAGAAAAACTAAATAGTTTGAAGGCGCATAATGTTATATTTTGTATTTGTTTTTTAACGACGCGGACGCTCTCCCATAAAAAAACATCGTCCCGTCCGTGGAAACTATTTTGGTTGGCGCACTCCTGTGGTTTTTAACGACGGACGCACTGTTTCCTCCGAGCTGCGATGCGCGAGTTCAAGCAGCCGACGCTTGCTGTCCGCGGCCACGCTGTGGTGGTGTTAGCCCATCGGCTAACCAGGAAGCAGGCTAGCCCGAGTTGTTGAGCCCAGGAGAGCGCCGACTCAATGATGAAGCCCAAGACAAGGCTGGGTCGTCGAGCCCAGGAGTGCGCCAACCAAGAAAGCCCAGCAAATGCTTCTTCGGCCCGTCGTGGATCAATGGCTAAGCTATCGTAGTTGAGAGCAAGGGAACCTAAGAACTAGTATAATGTCCGTGCTAACGCTACGGCAGAACATAGTCAAACAAATCAAGAAACTAAAAGACTAAATCCACCATTGCCCTCAAACCCAAAATACAACTACTGAAAAGAGTCAACAGACTTGTTTGCTGCAATTACACAATATATCAAGTACTTGCTTCATTTAAACGTTGTACGCTGCGACAATATCAACAACCGAGGAGAATCAACTAATCATTTATCGACTACCGTAATCTAATAACAATGAAGTGAATAATTTTTTTCTTCCTCTCACGCTAGGAAAGGAGAGGGCGAGGCAACCGCACACACATCGTCCCACGCGGCTGCTCCTCTCGCTGGCTCAAGCTGGACCACCAGGGGACTGCACTCCTCTTGCTGGACCGCCCCGTGCCGGCCTCTGAGCCAGGAACCGCGCCGGCCTGCCGAGCGAGCTAATCCATTGATTCTATAAAGAAATTTTCATATGCAATATTGTGAAAATATAGTGAGAAGCAATGAATCCATCATACCATAGGTTCTATCATTTCACAAGGGAAACAGCAATGCCCTTTAGCCAAGAAGTAACCTCACATAGTATTAAAATCAGAAATTCAACATCCCTAGCAACATAGAGTATGAACAATTGAAAGTAGATATCATAAAAGCGATCTTAGTTCATAATCCACAAAATATTACAAGCCTTGCCAGAAGGAACGGGGCCTGATAATGACTATATCAGGAGGGGATATACATTTGCTTTTTTGACTTGTTCTTTGCCAACTACGTAACCAAATCAACTAGTTTATGATCCTCCTTCCTACAACAGAGCACAGCTATTTATTTCAGACGCAGCAAACTCTGTTTAGAGAAAAAATTGCAAACTGATTGTCAAATTACTAAAGATTGGAAATAGAGGTTAGTGCTACAATACTCAGTTTAAATGGTCATGGTTACTTTACTACTATTCAACCAGAGGCACAATGAGGCAGTTATGCATGCATGAGTATATAAGCAGTCAACCTTTTTAAAAAAAATGGTAAACAACCATTCTGATTCATTGTTCAAGTTAATCCAACGAAGGATGCCATTTAGCTCCAACCAACTGTAGCTTCACTGGCAATATTGTAATGCACTAAAAATAGAACCAAATAGGAATGATTAGCACTGGTTTTAGTCTCAGTACAAACACAAGATGCATTCACATTGTTAGCACGGTCATACAAATCTGCCATAATATAGGTGTGATGTTATCTACCAATTAATCCACAAACATGTGCTAGAATATATTTTTTCAATGCTACATTCTACACGCCTCTGAGCAGATGTATAATGCACACAGTAATTCATCTGAGCAGATGTAGCTCCTGGATCTTCACCATAGGGATGCTACTGAAAAAGGAGGAAAAAAACTAAAATTCTAAACCACAAGGAGAACCCAATGTAAATCAGTCTGAGCCGAGATCTTAAATGAGTACATGATAAATGAGCACATGAGCTGGACCAGCTAATACAGGAAGCTTGATTGATAGAGACAAAAGGCAAGAATCCGCTATAGGAAATATTCAGAAGTGGACATTTTAAGGAACAGCTCGCGGGCGTCTCGAATCCCTTTTGGGGGTGGTCAGGGAAACAAGCAGGCTTTGGGAATGCAAGACGAATCAACAGAGAGGGTGAGCAATATTTAGAGCCAAGTCCAAGATTCTAATGATCCAAGCATTTAATTTGCAAAGACTGGAATTTTGGGCAAAAACAAGTCGATGTTCCTCTCCGCGTACCTGAGAACTCACCGAGCAGGAGGAACCGAGTCCAGGTTCTTGAGCTCATCCCTGCATGCTCAAGGTGCCGAGGAGAAGTCGATGCCCAATTGAGGATCGACACAAACGAAATTGGGACTTGGCTGGCTTTTACTTACCTGCCAGTGTCAGGACCGTGGTGCCCTGTCCCTCAAGCTACAACTCCGCACGGACCTTCTTGACCATGGCACTGGGCTTCTCGAATGGTGAGATTTTTCTAGGGGCTGCTGGAGAGGAGGAAGAGCAGGCAAGCAAGCCTGCGACTGGCCGAAGTGCATCCATCCAGCCCAGCAGAGCAGAGCCCGGGCGACGCGGCGGCGCCCGCGGCTCTGCTGCCCGGTCTAGCGGCCGACGGCCCCAGCGCTCGGGGCTGCCCATGGATTGTTTGTCCACGCCGCGACCGAGCTTGCCGCCGCTGGATTCGGAGGCCTGCTCCCTGTTGCCCGAAACCCTAACCCTAGCCGCCGCCGACGGCGGCGGAGGAGCGGATGCCGCTGAAGCGTTCGTGGCCGGCAGCGAGGACTTCTTCTCGTCTCTGGCCAGGCAGGTTAGCATGCTCTCAACATCTCCAGTGTATTTATTGGTTGCATAGTGCTCCAGCAATCGATCACGGAAAGGAACACCAAAATAAAGTGCCTCAAACAGGACACAGTGAGATCCCACACTGAGAACAGTATCTCATCTTTGTCTAAATGTTATTGACCGAATGCCAAAGGTGTGGAGGCCGAAGTAGCACTGACCCTTAGGTAAGTGCTTGTCCAGCGCCTTCTCCAGCCAGGAGGGTATTGCACCCATTTCCACTCCCACCCATCATCATCGTGTTATGATATCAGGTCTGACGCCAACAATATGGCCATAGTATGTATTGGCAAATTGTCCAGTGGTGTGCTGTGCTGAGCTAAGTCCATACTGCTAAACAACTACATGATACCGTTTTGATCACTTGCACTGCTGTCAATTGAGAGCGCGACATCAGTACATGGTGCATCAGCAGGCAAAATTAGCACATATAAGTTTTGTCAAAGACTCAGTAGAGGTAGAACAAAATGAAAACAAAAACAGTTCTGGAATGGGGAGTTTATCACTGAAAAGAAAAAAGGAATTGATTTCGTGAACAATCCTGACCTTCCTGAATGGGAAGAGTGAACCTAGCAGGTTTCTTATCAGCCAATTTGACATCAACATATTTGTTGCCATATGGAGAATTTACAGCAGTCCATATCCCATCTTGAAGACCTTGCCATTCATCCGCCTCACAGTGGCATAAATCCATAGAGGCATTCCTGCAAAGGTAAAGTGCTTCAGTTTTTCGAACACTAAGAATGTCTACATTTACAGTCTAGAAGAGTCAAAACATCAGTTAATTATGGAAGCGAACCTCTATTTTCCAATCAAACTTTCAGGAATCGATTGAGAGACATTCATTTTGACACGAATTTGGCTTGCATTACCGTGAAGATGTAACCTTGGCGGTCCAGATATGAGGAATCGCTCACAAAATTGTCCAGCCAAGGGGGAGAGAACAAATGAAACCTCTAGATTTTCCAAGGTAACACATGTACGTACGTAACCAATCTAGCAGAGGTGAAGCAAACCATAGTGCACTGTGGGCTGCGTCGGGGCTGCTGGCCGATGACCTGCGGGCTTCTCCCATCATGGCCGGGAATAGCCGGGAAAGGAAGAGGGAGAGCAAGGAAAGGCGGGAGGACGGACGGATGCAGCCGAAGAGGCACTAGAAGCGGAGGCGCGCCAGGTTCCGGTCGCAAAGGATGATGCGAGCAGCCTCGATGGTAGGGGTACCGCGCGCCATCGTGGTTCGGTGCCTCAGGTAGGCGCGCCATGCCGGGGGGAGGAGAGGGAGGGTGGGCGTCCGCGCCGGTACGCCGTCTGACATTGGGCGGACACGACGCCGAGCGGAGGCAGGTGCGGCGCGAGTGAGAGGCGGAGCAGGAGATGAAGGTATGGGGAGGCGTGAGGGAGAGATGGAGGGAGAAGTGGAGGGCGGCGGCCCGCGCCGCGCTCGAGGGGCTGCAACGACGGGGGAGGAGGCAGACTGGCAGAGGCGCAGCACGGGGCTGGGTCGCGGACGCCCAGCGGATGTTTCGGTGAGGCCGGGTCCTGCTTTTCGTAGGAGAGTAGGGGCGCCGGGCGGCCTTGGTTGCTGCGGTGCCTGGCGGCCAGCGGCCTGGTGTGAGAGGAGAGTGACGAGTCGCGCGCGCGTGGGGGGTGGAGGTCCGGAGGAGCCGCGTCTGTGGAGGAGGGAGGGGCATGCGGGATGCGGGGAGGAGCGAGGGCGCGGCGTCGACGTGCGGGCTGTGGATGCGTGAGAAGTCTGGCATCCACGTCGAATCGTGCTCATCAAATTTGACTTAGGTGTTTTATTAACTTTTAATTTTAATGAAGATGAATTTATGTGTATAATTTTCTAGATATACAGCGGTTGAAGGCTTTTAGCGGAGGATTTTTTTTTAAACTAGTATAATTTCGATGGGTTCATTACGGTAGAGATACGTATCTATCTGTGAGATGGAGTGAGACATCCTCGAACAATTGTATGAACTATTACCCAAATTATTAATCGTTCCTCTGTCCTGAATTCGTGCTGCCTACCCAACTCCAGTTCTTCCTTCCCCAACTCCGATCTATCTCTGGTGCTAACAATTTGGTATTGGATTTCAGCCAACCCTAGAACCCTTCCCTAATCACGCGCACTTCACCCGTCGCCAACGCCGTCTCGGTGTCATGGATCCGAACCTGCAACTCATCCTCGACACAATGAACAACCGGTTCGACGAGCTCGACCGCCGCTTCACCGACAGGGATTGCGCCTCGGCGGATCAGGATGCGGCTGTCGACTCCCGGTTCGCAGCTCTGGAAGTGACCCACTCGGCTGCAACAGCCGCCGCCGCCGCCGCCGCAGCCGCATTGGAGCAGCGGCTGGCCGGTCTGGAGTCCGTCCACGTCTCGCCCCTCCCGACCTCCATCGAGCAGCGCCTCACCTCCCTCGAGGCCAGCTACATCGACTGCGACACCGATTACTCGCAGCACATCGCCGAACTCGAGAAGCTCCACCTCGCCACCACGAAGGACGAGCGGAACGCTCGGGTGGCCGCCCTGGATAAGGCTACGGCGGATCTCGCGTCTTGGCACCCCGACATGGAAGGGGTGGTGGACGACGTCCGCTTGCAAGTCCAGAAGCTCGACTCGAAGTATGACCGCGCGGTGTTCGACTCATTGCCACAGTGCGCTGGTCTTCTTCAGTCCCCTGCCGCAGCGGCGACCGTCGCCAAGTCCATTGCCGTTTCTGAACTGCCCAGCGGGCATCGCGTTGCCTCGACTCCACGGGATGTGGGTTCCGGGGTCGTCACGACCTGGACACACATCCCGGACAAGGGTACGTGCTTCACCACTCCTCCCGCTGATCCTCCTGGATTCGTGTTTCGCCCTCCTCCACCTTCGCCGTTCCTGAACCCACCTCCTCCCCTCCACCTCCGTCGTTCCTGAACCCACATCCTCCTCCACCACCACTTCCGTACCCCGCTCCTCCCCGTCATCCCTTCTTCCCAGCTCCTTTACTTCCTCGCCCACCGGGCGTTGTCGTTGCCACTAACCCCACCGCCCCACCAGCAACAGGTCGCCTTCCCAAGCTTGCCTTCCCCCGTTTCAACGGTGACAATCCTCGCCACTGGCGTTTGCTTTGCACAGACTATTTTGAGATGTATAGTGTGCCTCCTTTGATGTGGATTCGTGTTGCCAAACAACATCTCAACCATGCAGCGGCTCGTTGGTCTCAACCATCGAACCCGAGCTCAATTTCTCTGATTGGCAGGGTTTTTGTCGTCTTCTTCATGATCATTTCGACCACTATCAAAAGGAATTGCTCATTCTCCAATTATTCCATGCTAAACAAACTTCCTCTGCATCCGATTATGTCACCCACTTCACTGAATTGGTCGACCAATTGAAAGCCTATTCCCAAACCACCGACCCAATGTTCTACACTATGCGCTTCATTGATGTCCTTCGCACCGATATCAAAGATATTGTTCTTGTCCTTCGCCCCAAAGACTTGGATACTGCTTGCACTGTCGCTATGTTGCAGGAGGAGGCGGGCTCTGCTGCTGCTCCATTGCGAGCATCTTGCTCTGGTGATTGGTCTCCTTTACCGAAGCCATCAGCGATTCTCGCACTGCATTACCACTGCTGCCTCTACCTCCCCGGCAGGACAAGACACCTGCTCCAATTTTGGCCACAGACTCCAAATTGGCAGCCATCAAGTCTTATCGGCGAGCTCTCGGTCTGTGTTACAAGTGTGGCGTCAAATGGTCTAAGGACCACAAGTGTGCCCTGAGGTGTTACATGCTGTGGAGGTTCTCTGGGATTCATTTGCTGAATTTGACAGTCAGTCCACCTCGGAAACTTCTTCAGGCCCTGACGAGCAGCTCTGTTTTGCTCTGTCTAAGGCGGCTTCCAGTGGTTCTCCAGCATCTCACACTATTCATTTCAAGGGCTCCATTGCCGGTATCCCTGCAATATTATTGATTGATTCAGGCAGTTCCACATCTTTCATTAGCAATGCTATCGCAGCCCAGCTTTCGCAGATCAAGCCAGTACTCCAATCATCTCAAGTTCAATTCGCAGGCGGTGGTTTGCTGCACAGTCCGGGAGTACTTCAATCTGTTGAATGGACCATAGATCATTGCCACTTCTGCTCACATTTCTGAGTCCTTCAACTATCTGCTTTCGACGCCATTGTGGGCATGGATTGGCTTGCGCTTTCAGTCCAATGCAGGTTCATTGGCAACACAAGTGGATCGCAATTCCCTATCTGGGTCAGTACACAGTTCTGCAGGGATTGGAATCACCACTGCCAGATTCAGTTTGCTTGCAGCTGTTTGCTACTGAAGAGGCGCCATCTGCTGATAATACTTCACCAATGTTACCTGCAGTACAGCACTTGGTGGATTCATTCTCGTCCATCTTTGAGCCTCCAACTTCATTAACACCATCTAGAAGCTGCAACCACTCAATACCGCTACTTCCACGGGCTCAACCGGTCTTCATCAGACTGTATCATTACCCGCTAAGCTTGAAAGATGAGATTGAGCGTCAAGTTCAGGATATGCTGTCTCAGGGAATCATTCAGCCGAGTTCGAGTGCTTTTGCCTCTCCGATACTGCTAGTAAAGAAGAAGGACGGCTCTTACCGTTTTTGCGTTGATTTCAGACAATTGAATGCATTAACTGCTAAGTCTAAGTTTCCTGTGCCGGTGTTTGATCAACTCATGGACGAGCTTGCTCACTCTAGTTGGTTTTCCAAACTTGATCTCCGGGCAGGATTTCACCAGATTCTTATGCAGCCAGGAGAGGAGTTCAAGATGGCCTTCTAAACTCATATGGGGCAATATGAATTCAAAGTGATAGCATTTGGGTTGAGTGGAGCTCCGGGGACATTTCAGGGAGCCATGAATTCTGGGTCACGTGGTTAGTGAAGCCGGAGTTTCCACCGACCCAGCCAAGGTCAAGGCAATCACCGACAGGCCGGTTCCTGCCAATGTCCGTGCTCTTTGTGGATTTCTCAGTCTGGCCGGTTACTATCGCAAGTTTGTGCTCAATTTTGGAATCATAGCTCGTCCTCTCAATATGACCTTCTCAAGAAGGATTCCATCTTCATCTGGACTTCTATTCATGACAGCGTTCCAATCTCTGAAGATGGCTCTATCTACTGCTCCAGTTCTCGCACTGCCAGATTTCTATGTGCCCTTCAATGTGGAGACTGATGCATCGGGTACAGGTATTGGTGCCGTCTTGCAGCAGCGCGGTCACCCATTGGTGTTTATCAGCAAGGCACTCAGCCCTCGCAACCAAGGCCTTTCTACATACGAGAAAGAATATCTTGCAATCTTGATGGCAGTTGATGCTTGGCGACATTACTTAATGCAGAGTGAATTCGTGATTCATACTGATCAGAAGAGCCTTATCCACCTCAATGAGCAAAGCCTCCATACCCCATGGCAGCAGAAAGTTTTTTGCAAGTTGTTGGGTCTCACGGTACAGAATTGTCTATCGGCGTAGCGTCAACAATGGCGTCGCTGATACTTTATCCCGCCACCAGCACAATGATATTGCTTTGGCCATTTCATCTCCATCGCATGACTAGCAGGCAGCTCTTCATGATTGGTATCCTTCTAACCCTAAGGCTTCGGCTCTTCTATCTCAGTTGGCGCCGGATGGCTCTTCCTGCCCACCATATACTTTGCAACAGGGCATCATCCATTATAAGAACCGAATTTGGTTGGGTTCCAATGTTTCGCTTCAGCAGCAGGTCATTGCCGCCTTGCATGATAGCCCAATTGGTGGTCACTCTGGTGCTCCGGCCATGTTTCAGAAAGTGCGCCGTTTATTCTTTTGGCCCAGCATGCGAGCTACAATTAATTCTTCAGTATGTGCAGCAGTGTTCTATCTGCCTCCAAGCCAAGCCTGAACGGTTCGTTATCCGGGACTCTTGTAGCCATTACCTGCCAAGTTTTGAAAGTCGACGACTACGACGCGCCTAGTCGCGCCTAGTCGCTAGGCTACGGCCTGATGTAACACCCCGGTTCAGGGCTTAATAGGATTAATAGGATACTCGTATCAACAAGTTGCAACTTCTTTTCTGGAAGCCCATCTCTTAAGAACTCCAAGGTTAAGCGTGCTTGGCCTGGAGCGATGGGTGACTGACCGAGAAGTTCTTCCCGGGTGCGCACGAGTGAGGACAAAGTGCGCAGAAAAGACAAGTGTTGATCTGTGAGGGCAGTCTATATCCTAGTTAAGCTGCCAGATGTAAGCGGGCCCAGCCTCGGAGAGGTGGGACGTTACACCCGACGCCTGGACTAGGGGATAGTCGCCCCTCAAGTCGACGGAGCGCCTAGGCGGCGCTTAGGCGGGCTCCCGGCGACTAGGCGGCGCCTGAAGCCCTAGGCGCGCTGAATCGACTCGAGTCGGCCCGGTTTTCCAACAAGACATAAAATATTACGCTGGCGGCATGAAGCGGCTGCTGGGGAAAGGTTGGCGCCGGGGGGAATTGTTGCGCACTGCTGACGGATAAGGCAGCAGATGGGTATACAAAGCACATGACGCTTATTCCATTGCCAGCGACGCCCTCTCGCTGTGGAAGGCTTCCGCCGACGCCGACGCCTCCTCCCGCCCGTCGGTCTGTTCCGACCTCGTCCTCCTCACTCCTCCTCGGTCTCCGCCCAGCTCGTCCTCCTCCCAAGATCGAAGCCTCGAAGGCCTCCCCGCACGCCAACTCCCCGCCACCTAGTACCCTCCCCGTGATCATCTCCTCAAAGTGAGCCCAGCCCCAAGGCCGACGCCTCAAGCCAAGGTATGTCCTCCCCGCCTCGCTCTGCTCCCTTGAACTGCTGCTCTGCTCTATTTCGCTGCTCTCTCTCTCCTCTCTGTTTCTGAAATCTGAAGTATGAATCTGTGAATTGTTGTAACTTGCATGTATATATCATGATTTTCGCTATATAAATATATATATTATGCTATATATATTATATATTATACTAAATTGGCAAAACGCCTAGCAAAACGCCTAGCATCGCCTAGGCTAGCCTAGGCTAGACTAGTCGCTAGGCTAGGGTCATCGCCTAGATTTCGCCTAGCGCCTAGAAAAACTTGGATTACCTGTGCCTCAGTCTGCTTGGGAAATTATTTCAATGGACTTTGTTAAGGGCCTCCCATTGTCAGGTAATGGCAACTCCATTTTGGTTGTGGTTGATAAGTATTCCAAATTCGCCCATTTTGTGCCTCTCCGCCACCCATATACAGCGGCTTCAGTGGCAAAAGTATTCATGGACAATATATACAAACTCCACGGCTTACCCAAATCCATCATATCCGACCGCGACCGAATCTTCACAAGCAAACTTTGGCAGCTGCTGTTCAAACTGGTTGGCATTCAATTAAGGATGAGCTCAGCTTACCACCCACAGAGAGACGGGTAGACTGAACATGTCAACTAATGTCTAGAAACATTTCTTAGATGCTTTGTGCACGCTTGCCCGGCTCGGTGGATTCAATGGTTACCATTGGCAGAGTTTTGGTACAACACAAGCACTCATTCTGCCTTGGGTCGAACCCCTTTCGAAGTGCTCTATGGGTATCCGCCTCGGCACTTGGGCAGGATGTTGCTGATGCAGCCCCTGTCCCTGATTTGCAGCACTGGCTCGATCAACGGGAGTCGATGCAAAGCTTGGTTCGCTTACACCTTCAGCGAGCTCAAGACCTTATGAGTCGTCAGGCAAACAAGCTTCGTTCTGAGTGCAGTTTCAGCACTGGTGACTTGGTCTTCCTAAAGCTTCAACCTTATGTGCAGGCGTCCGTGGCTCGACGCACACATCATAAGCTTTCATTCAAGTTTTTTGGCCCCTACCGTATTCTGGAGCGCATCGGCAAGGTGGCTTACAAGCTAGATCTTCCACCTGGTTCCTCTGTGCATCCTATATTCCATGTTTCCCAACTGAAGTAGTCCCATGGTGATCACCCGGTGAGTTCATCTCTGCCTTCTGAGTTGGCTATGTTCCAGGTGCTAGAACGCATCTTGCAGCACTGCCGGACATCCGGCGACCATCTGTGGAGCGAGTCTATGTCAAGTGGTACCATATGCCAGCTTCCTTGGCTACCTGGGAATCTGCTGATCATCTCCGGAAGCAGTTTCCTCATGCGCCGGCATGGGGACATGCTGCAACTCAAGCTAGGGGGAGTGTTAGCCCATCAGCTAACCAGGAAGCAGGCCAGCCCGAGTCGTCGAGCCCAGGAGAGCGCCGACTCGAAGATGAAGCCCAAGACAAGGCCGGTTCGTCGAGCCTAGGAGTGCGCCAACCCACAAAGCCCAACAAATGCTTCTTCGGCCCATCGTGGATCAATGGCCAAGCTGTCGTAGTTGAGAGCAAGGAACACGAGAATATATGTATTGATCATGAGATGGAGTGAGACATCAAACAATTGTATGAACTATTACCCAAATTATTAATTGTACCTCTGTCCTGAATTTGTGCTGCCCACCCCAACTCCAGTTCTTCCTTCCCCAACTCCGATCTATCTCTGGTGCTAACAGGTGGCGCCTCCACATGACGGTCGTGCACACGAGCCTATTCGCCTCGGCCTCCCGGCAGCCAGTGGCCGTCGCGACACCGCCCCTCCCACGCCACGGTGGAGCTGTCGCTTAATAGATCAAGGGCCTATCCGTCTCAGATTACCGGCGGCCGGACATAGGCGGCAGTGCTCAAATTCTCTTCGTCGTCCATCGCGTGGCAGGTTGGGAGCACCGCACTCATGGGACTGTGGTGTCCAGCTGGGATTACCGCTCTGTAATAGGACACCTCCAGATGCACACGTGGTTGGGGATCACTCAAGGACCCTCCCCATCGCCGATAAGGCCGCCGCCAAGACAATCACTATTCGGATGCGTTGTTGCTAACCGAAGCGACAAGACATGACGCCTGCCTAGGCCGGAAAGAAGAAGAGGCGGTGGGCAAAGTGGCCGGTGGCGAGGTCTCCGCCGGCTTGGCGGTGGACGAGGCGGCGGCGGCGGAGGAGGTGGCGGCTAGGGCTAGGGTTAGGCCAGCGTCCTCCCTCTCTCTCCCTCTCCTCCCCGGCTATAGATTTCGATCAGCCGGCTTGGTAGCGGCCGCGACATGGCGGTGGTGGTGGGTTGGCCGACGGCGAGCAAGGCGGTGGCGGTGACACTGGGCGGGCGTGGTTGGATATCCGGTTGGGCGGGGTAGGCGGCGGGGGCCAGCAGACGGCGAACTTAGGGGAGGGCGAGCTCGTCCGGCGGGGGTGGTTGGTGGGCGGGGAGGTCACCGGCGGCCTGGGCAGTGGTCGAGGTGAGCAGCCGGGGCAGTGGCTCACTAGGGAAGATGATCAGTAATGCGCGGGGCCGGTGCGTGTGGGCCGCTATTGGTCCTAGCGCACGCGTTGAGGAAGTGTCCTGCCGCCGGCCGGCAGGATCGGCCCGAGATCGGGCGCCTCATTCGGTGATTCGAGGAAGAGGACGAGAAAAGAAATAGAAGACAAGGAAGGGTTCCTAGTAGAAAAGTGTAAGAGAGAAAGAAAAGATGGGAGGATCTAAATTGAATTCGAGAAACTCATGGATTCCTATTGTAAAAGTGCAGCCAAGGTTGGACCTATCCGGGAGGTGTTGCATGTTAATGTCCGAAAAAACGTCCTCACACATATGTTTCTTTTCCTAATTACATATCATACTTAATTAGTTCACATTCACATAGTTTGATGATAAGGTCTCAAGAACTATTTCCGCTACAATAATTTAAATGACATTCTAACTGTAATAAAAGTTGTGCGACAGTGCTTTTCATAATTCTTGCACAGCATGACGACAAGATTCATGTTCCAGAAAAAATAATTCTTTCTCAAATATTAACTTTGTTGCCATATTTACTTTTTGCAAAATATTAGAGTTGAGTGACATATTTGAAAAAAATATGATCCCACTATTTAGTTAATAGATAAATAGATTAAGTTTGTTATATCTTTATTCTAGCAACACACGGGTAAGTTTTCCTATCATAGCTAAATCACAGCAATGTAGTGGGAAATAATGTGCATGTAACTACTACAATCGTTTAAAAGACTCTTTCTTATACTCACTCCGCTGCAAATGAAATCAACTTTTAGAACTATCTTAAGTTAAACTATTTTAGATTTGATCATATTCACAGAAAAAGAGAATAAATATTATGACATCAAATTAACATTACTGTGACATGTAGTTGCGGAGGGGAGAGAAACACAGACTCTGGATTTGAGCTGTAGTAATCAACGGCGGAAGGTGGGCCATGGATAAAGATGAGGTGATCATTGAGTTGAATCAAGTCTATTGGAATAGAGATACTATTGATTTTTTTTCTTCCATTACAACACACGGACATCTTTGCTTATATTTGTTTTTTATATTAATAAAAACACTAAACGGAGTAAAATGCACCAACGAATAGAAGAAAAAGGTGGAAACACAAATAGCGGAAAAACTTTTGGAAAAAACAAATACAAAACAGACCGGTAAAAAACAAAAAAAACTAAGAAACAGAACATCATAAAAAAAAAGAAACGAAAACGAACCACCCAAGAAAAATGAAGGAGCAAATAAATAGAAACGTGGAAAAAAAGTGCGAACAAAAAAGGAAATGTGAAAAAGAAGAGTGAAAAGATTAAGATGTCTAAGAGCGGGGTGAATTAGGCTAATTCTAAATTTCTTGCAATAATTAAGCCCTACACTTAACTCATTTCACTCGCTTCTGCCTAGAAGTGTTTCTATTGTTCTACCGTACAAAAGTTTTGCACATTAGGTTCCAATCCTACTCTAGCTTGGCAATTCTAAGAATGTAAAGACATGAATTGAATTTTTCAAATGTAAATACTCAAAGTAATGAGGAGAGGAACACAACAATGTTTTTCCGAGGTATCGGAGAGTCGCCACTTCCCACTAGTCCTCGTTGGAGCACCCGTGCAAGGGTGTAGCTCCCCTTGATTCGTGCAAGGATCAAGTGCTCTCTACGGGCTGATTCTTCCACACTCCGTCGTGGTGAATTGCCCACAACCGCTCACAACTTGACTTAGGTCATACACAAGTTCCGTCGGATGATCACCAAGCTTACAATCATCACCGAGCCGTCTAGGTGATGGTGATCACCAAGAGTAACAAGCATAAACTCTCACTTGACCAAAGCAAGCCTAATGAGAAGGGTGGATGCACACTTGCTACTCCCTATGCACTAATGAGGTCCTTAATCTTGGATTATCAAATCTCAATCACCTCACTAGGTTCTTGCTCTCTCTTGCACTCTAAAGGTGTTTCTCAGCTGAATAAATAAGCAAGAGGGCTCAATTGGACGAGTAGGATATGTATTTATACCCCCCCCCCCTATTTAAAACATAACGGTTGGGGTCCAACTCAGCATCTTTCGGGGTGACCGGGCACGCAGGTCCATGTGACCGGACGTGCCGATTAGTAGCCAATGGCTACATGGCGTCACCCTATCAGAGAGGGTCGTTAACGTGACTGAACTCATAGGAACATCCGATCCACCTGGACCTAACATGTCCGGTCCTCAAATTTCCTCTCTGGAACCTTACTAATGTTGACCGGACGCTACAAACACGGCATCTGGTCATCCACTGTTCATTGTCTGATCCTTCATCAACACTAAGACCTAGCTGCTACAGTTGGTCGGCACCAGCGCGTCCGATCCCAATCAATGCGCAACGTCTAGTCTCTCCTCGGCTTCTGTTGTATGCGCTGAACACTGACCGGACCAGCACCTGTGAGTCCGATCAATACTAAATCAGCGTCCAGTTAATGATTTGACCATCCATTTACTTCCAATTCAAAAACCTTCGCGGATGAAGTTGACTCCAATCGATCTTAGGGCTATTCCTAAGCTACCTAGTGCTAAGTTGGACAAGTGTGCACCATTAGACTCACCTAGGTCAAGCTACTAGTTCATACCCCCTTAATAGTACGGCCAAAGGGAAAACAAAGTCCTAAACTACTATAAGTGTCTCTCCAATGTCAAACGACACTTAGAACTAGTCCATCCTTAACCTTGTCGTCCATCCTTTAAAATCCAAAATAATTTCCATCAATAGGGGCATGAATGTGGTAGAACCGCCCAAAATAACGCACTTATGAAGGCGCTTGTCTTCCACTGACACTAAGCACCCCGAGAGCGAGCTACATCGGACGGGTTCCGTCAGGCACACCCCAAGGGAGAGCCCGAAAGATCCACATTTTTCCCATAGAATCCAATAATGAGAACGAGTTACAATACTTAGTCCATTTTATACATCCAGAGTTCTTCAAAATATATCATTACAATACCAAATTCAGAGTGCGGAATATTAAACAGCGGAATAAAAGAATAAAACTCGAAAACATCTATCGATAAGAAGCAAGAACCCGTCTGTGCCCACCAGAAGAATCCTTCACACAACGGCTACTCCTCAATTAGTACCTGCAAACAGGGGTAAATAAACCCTAAGTACACAATGTACTCGCAAGACTTATCCGACTAGTGGGAATAGTTTCCCGACTCCAAGGAATATGATAAGCTTTATGGTTTGCTGGTTTTCTTTTTGCAGAAAGCAATTCTAGTAGTAAATCCTTATTTATGTTATTATTAGCTATCATGATTAATTAATTATCTAGCCATACTATGTAAGCACCTGCTCTACTTTCAAGTAGGAGTTGAGCAAACAGTTCTATTTCATCATCTTTCATCTTTCAGTTCTTACTACGGTGCTAGACTTTAGACAAGTCGTAGCGGATTGCCCGGCGATTCACAAATCAATGTGCCCAGCTGGGTACCCCGAAAACACATGCCCCGCTTGTACCCCAGGCACAAGCAGGACCAACCCATCACTCTCCTGTCATGGGGTCCTAGGTCTCCGTCCAAACTTGGACTCCAAGCCCCCACTCCTGAGTCCCGGACTTAGTGCGGTGCAAAGACCTCCACCATCTTTGCCTCCAATCAGTCAGTCTGGAAAGAGCCAGAACCCATAACAAAAGAGCAACAAGTCTTCCATGCGCCCATACCTAAGTATGTGCTTGAGATAATAAGTCTGTGACTTGCCTAGCGTTCAATGCAACGGTCGGTCCTTAACCGACACAAATAGGGAAAAGTGTAACCAAGCTATGCCCTGTTGGCCATAGGACACAACCTCTTACATCCACCAATACCCTAAACCATATCCCTGCCCGGTCACTATTTTTCCTTTCCACCACTTTATCATGAGTGATCATAATTATCACATATTGTGAGTAACGACAGGTTACCCACGCTACCGAAATCCTGAGCATAGCAGCTACTCAACCAATACTAGTAGGACTCATAGGTAGATATATTTATACATATAGTTTCCATAAAATACCTGTACATAAATGCACATCATATATATTCGGTGATCATTCA